CAAAAAAAAAATAATATATATATATATATATATATAGTTATAGCAGTCATTCATTTTGATTTAGCCAGACATGATTTGAAGCACAGACAATTTGTCTTAACAGGGGAAGGTGAACTTCATTTTTTTTTTTTTTATGTGGAAACGTGGGAAAAAAAATTTTTTTGATAAAGGAATATTTGTTTTACACCTTCTCTTTGGACCTTTAATTGTGTCAATACATTAGAGATGTACATTGGAAAATATAAACAATGAATGTGGCATGAACACACATTCAGATTCACTCACACTAATGACTGTTTATCTTTAGCTGTTTCAGGTTCAGGTCGATCTTTGGCTGCTAGAGTAGTAATATGTGGTGTTCCTGCTGTTCTGCTGGCTGGAGCTGTTGGTGCTATGATTTACTATCACTACAGACGTCCCAGAAATGGCAAGTACCACCAACAGATACTACAGTGAGAGGAAAACTTAATCTGTATTGTGCCAAATTTGTGTTTAATCGCGTGTGATCACTTTTCAAAGCAGACAAACAAGAGGTTGTGTGAAAAGTCCAAGAAAGAGGTAAGATCTGCAGTACTGTAGTAGCCTAAGACTTTGTAGATTTTTTTTTTCTGATGACGAAATCTCAGTAAAATGTACAGTACTGTGCAAATGGCACTTTAAATTATTCACCAAACGATACAATGGTCATTTATATATTTTGCCTAAGGATAGACATTTGAAAACATTAATTTTGACATTAATAATCCAATACTTTTTTTGTAGGCTATGCACAAGGACTGTGGGATCCAGAGAGATCTCACCGTAACCGTTTGTCTGGAGCTGCAAGACAGACAAACATGATAAGTATCTGTGATTAAAAGATTACAACAAGATAACTGTCTGTCTACTCTCTACTTTGATGTAAACCAGCAAATTCACACCCGCATTAAATCTCCTATGAGGAAGACAAAACGATTGCGTTTATACATCATGTGAACAATCTAGCCCATTTTGAACAAATTGTGCATACTCTGCAGTGTATACGTGACCATTTGTACTCTTTTTAGCAGCATTAAAAATAGGCTAAAACTTTATTAAAATTGTGAATTGATGAAATAGGCCTACAGAGCCTGAGCAGTAAGCGCTCCCTTTAATAGTCTAATCACTATAGCTGTCAATCATTGGCAGCGCAGTTGGCTACAATGCTCAGTGCTGCAAATCGCGCTGTAATTAGAAGCCTTTAACGGTCTTCAGACAGAGCGTGGACACAAGCAGGGACAGTTTGAAAGCAGCTGCCTATCAGCGTGTACCGAAAGTCGAAAGAGTCTTTCTTGACTATTGGACACACAACCAGCCCGTGCCTGTCACCCATTCGACCCGCACCGCACCTGACAACAAATATTAGTGGTTCAACCGGCGCTGTATCCTCTAATATTTTATCTAGAGCTAAAACGCCCTTATACAAGACATTCCACTCCTTGTGTCTCTCCAGCTAAAGATGCAAAGCACTACAACATGGGCGATGTAGTTATTTTAACAACAGTAAGTTAGCAGAGACAGATGAGCATCAAAAAAAATATATATATACTTTTGCTAAAATGTTTATCTGTCATGTATATGTATTAATAGTTAAAGGGATAATTCTCCCAAAAAATGCAGTTGTCCCCTCATTAGAAATCACGGTCCGGGGACCCTAGATCAGACCTAAAGGACACTTTAGTTTCAGCAATAAAAGGGGCAGGGGCCACCTAATGTAGCCTACTTATTACATCGTAAGGAGAATGGTGTCAGACTCTGGTCCATGTTTTGTGTGTGTTTTTGCTCCCCATGT